ATTATATTAAAGATAAGTCACTGTTTGGTGGAAATTAAAACTCAGATTTTAATTTAAGTCAAAATCAATAATTAATTTTAATCACAAATTTCATTGGATCCACGACTTTTTAACCACACATTTTATCAATTTTTATTAAAATGTATTAAAAATCTGATTTTAATCCCCACCAAACAAGGATAAATATGATTTATGATTTGATTTATTAAAGAATTCTACAAGTTCGATATTTTCAAAATTATATTTTTATAGTATGGTAGTTAGGGATTTTTCTCAAATGGAATCCATTAAAAACGAATAGCATCAAGTACATTGCCTCTAGTTTCAATAGAACTTGCAATGATATTTCTTTATTTGTTTCAATACTCATTTAAGGCACAAGATGCAAAAGCAAAATAAGTTTTGCTATTAGTACAGAAAAAAATTGACAGAATTTTTACAGAAAGACAATTGATAGTTTTTCATTGTTTTTGACACAACAAACACATAAAATGCACCACACAGATGCTCCAATGCAGCACCTGTATCATTTCTATCAATAATTCACTGTACTTATGAAATTATTCAAGCAAAATAAATTCGGTCACAGCCATCATCATATGGTATACACAAATATCCCCTGTTTGGCGTCGCTATCAAATTTGTTTAAAATTCAAGTTAAAGTTAATAATTAATTTTAATCTTATATTTTATAAAATTCACAACTTTTCAACCTCGCATTCCATCATTTTTTATTATGAAGAGCGATATTATAATATCCATATAAAATATTGTTATAATTAAAGTCATACTTCTTCAAGTGCAACAACACGATATGTTTGACTAAATATTGATATTATTTTAGTTAGGACCAAACAATATGCTTCTAGAATATCTTAGTTTGTATAGAGTTTTTTAACAACAAAATAATATTATTCAAGAATATTAATATCTAATAATATTATCGGGAGCAATAATATATTATTCTCATAAATATTAATATATAAAATTATTTTTTAATGAGAAAACTATAACATAATATTTTTCAACAATATTAATAGATTGTAAAATTGAGGTTTTCTGTGAAACTACAATTAAAAACAGATCTAGGATTTTGCATGCAAATAATTAAATGATCAGATAAAGTAATTGAATATTTAAAATTCTTGTGAGATGTTTGGATACATCTATAATATTTTTTCAGGATCATGTCATATTCTTAAGAGATATTAGAATTCTAATTTGTGTAAAATTATATTTCTTCAAAAGTATGAACATAATACATTTTTTATAATACTTATGATTAAAGCACTTAAATTGAAACAACACGATATTATTAAGAAATAATAGAATATTTGTGTGTAAACTATGCTTCTTTATCAGAATTAATACATTTATCAAAACTAAACTTATAACTATGTTAATTTTTGTGACTAACATGAAATTTTTCTAGAATACCGATTTGTATAAAATTTTATTTTTTTAGGAATAACAAAATAATGTTCTTATTTAATATTTATGTAACTACTACACAAATGGTAGCTACCGGTACCCTTTAGAGTGTGTTTGAACCACATTATTTTTATAGAATCTATTCTGGAATAGTAGATTGATGGAGAATTTGTGGTTGAAAAAAAATGAAAAGTTATTGATATGATGGAAAATATTATTTTATTGAAGAATGTGTGGTTGAAAATGAGTAGAAAAATGAGAATGAAAATTTTAATGTGTACCAAATAAGGATCTTAAATTGCTTGATAATTAGTTTTTATATTACAAATCTCACATCGTCAAAAGTGCCATAATCAATACTTAATTTTTCTTTTTAAGATGCAATTCTCAATTGACTGCAACTCGTGCTGATAAAGTGTTATAAAACGAGATAATAAAATTAGGAACGTCATAATTTAAGTGTGTACTTCATTGTAATATTGATTCGTATATATATGTAAGTATCAATAAGAATTACAATCTAAATATAATATACTTTTTCTAAAATAAGCAAAATTTAGTTAAGTATCTAACTAAATAGTCATCAATAATTATTTTAAAATATTTACAACATTAATAATTATGAATTGTTGCCCTTGTTTGTCTACCATTGTTCCAATTTTTTTTTTCAAACTTATTTTCAATCACATATTCTCATAATAATATATTTTGTGCGTAAATTCAAAATCTCTTCATATTTTCCTACATTTAGTAAACAAACATGGGCTTAATAACTTCTCTTTCAAATATTGCATAAATGGAAGTTAAATGTTTCAATGGTCACTGAACTTTGCACCATGTCACGACTTACTCACTCAACTTCATGGTGCTTCCCATGGCCATTGGACTTTGTTTCGTCTCACTCCATCACTCATCAGATGGAATCCGTTAGTAGATCTACTGATGTGGCGGATGAAAAAATGAAGTGTCCAGTTAAATGCTGAGTGAAGTGCCAAATCAGCTCCACGTCAGCAATTACATCTTCCAAACACGACTTAAACAACTAAAGAAAACACCAATTAACTCCCCAAACCTAAGATTGTGAAATCCAATTCTCCCAAATCAATCCTGGACGCGAAGTCTCTGAGGCCGTGAAACCCATTCAATTCTTCTCTCATGCGAATTATATGAAGTGGTAATAATGAAATGTGAATTGCATTGAGAGTTGTTTTCGGTAATAATGATCTCAATGTAGGATAACAATTCTTCTCTCATGCGAATTCTCTGAAGTGGTAATAATGAAATGTGAAGTGCATTGAGAGTTGTTTTCGGTAATAATGATCTCAATGTAGGATAAAGTGCTGGTTAGAAGAATGGGGAGTGCAACGAGAGTTGGAGTGTGCCCAGAACTTTTGTAACACAAGTTTTGAATGATGGATATTTTGGGTATGGCTCTAATAAAGATATCTTATTGTTGAATCCTGTGACTGGAAAAAACTGTGTCAAAACGATAATGCTGGGGCAGACTCTAAATTAAAATTTGGAATTATGTGTGTTTTAAGCATTGAATTTCAAAAAAGCCCCCTATTTAAACTCTTGGATGAGATGAAGAGATTAAAGATTGATTGTTCTGAAGCAGTTGCTAAGAAGAGCAAAAAATGTGGTAGCAATTCATCCGTCACTACTAGTAACGTATTCATGTTTTGAATCAATGGAAGGGAGTCTCTATTGCTGATGCTTTTGGAAAGGATAACGATATTACGACCAAGAAGGTTTCAGATGGTTCTTTGTTGCTAGTGCTTTCTAGAACGGATAATCAAGCTACGAAATGATTATCAGTTTAGTGTTTATGTTTTTATGGAAATGTTGTTGGAAATTATGTGGGATAAAATTGTTATCGTCCTTTTTTGTCCAAAATTGTCCTAAACACTTGATGGATGATCTATTGCTTTTGTATGTATCCGTTAACTGCTTTTGTATGTATCTCGTATCATGTTGAAGGTTCTCTATGAATGGATACCTGCAGTTGGCAGATTTAGTTTGTTGTTGTTCATTTGCAACCAAAACTGAATTTGCATTGTAATTTTTAATGAATTAGAAATTAAGACATTTGATCCTTTAGCACAAAAGAGAAATGAATTCCAGAAACAAGAATACTTCATTTCATTAACTACCACTTGAACATCATCATAGATAGTACTGCAAGAGAAATGAATTACAACAATATAACATTTCTGTATCATATCTATGGCCTTTCTCATATTTTGTCTACAAAAACAGAAGGATCAGATACACAAGTATAAAATTAAGGTGCTAAGTAAATTCTTGATGATGACGAACATTTGCTACGAAGGTGTTAAGTGAATTCGGCCCTGCGTAACCCAGTTTCACGAATCTTTTGTGTATTGGTGTTGAATATGGAAAGAAGAAGAATTCGTTGACATCCACGAATGAAACTCAGTAGCATTCATTCTTTGCTATCAAAACACAATGCAGAAAGCATGCTTTTCACGTCTTTATTTATGGCTATTCATGCCAGACATTGTTGTCCTCTAGATCAAGTTCCTGAATAACCTCTTCAATCCCATCATCATTATTATTGTTGTAAATGAACCACCAAGGAGCTGCATCCCCATCCCATCCTCAAATCCAATCCTTCACAAACAACACAGAAGTATTCCCATCCAAACTAGTTGCATAAACCAAAATTTCCTAAGAACGAACTATCGGATTATTTATCCATACCCAGTATCTTCTTCCAAGACTCCATTTTATAATTGATCAAATTAACCACAGTGACAGAACCTTCAATCTTACCATTTGTGTGCGGACGTGCATGTAGATTCATTTTGCACAAATCGAATCATACTGGAGAATGGATTCTATTGCACGAACCTTCAATCTTACCATCTGTACATACGACCACGGAGCTCTCTAAGATCAAAATTTTGATGACGATGAAGGTGACAATCATAGCTCTAATTCAAAGAATTCGCCTGAGAGAATAATTGAATGGGTTTCACGCCATCGTCAGGAATTGATTTGGGAGAATTGGATTTCACGACCTTAGGTTTGGGGATTGGTGTTTTCTTTATTTGTTAAGATGGGTTTACAAGATGTGATTGCTGACGTGGAGCTAATTTGGCACTTCACTCAACATTTAACCGGACACTTATTTTTCCATTCGCCACATCAGCAAATCTACTGACGATTTCCATTCGGTGAGCGATAGGGTGAGACGGAGCAAAATTCAGTGGCCAATGGGAAGCTTTATGAAGTTCGACGAGTAAGAAGTGACATAGTGCAAAGTAGAATGACCATTGAAACATTTAACTCGCATAGATGTTTTAGAAGATGGTAGCCGGTCCCCTTTATTCCTCAGATAAAAGGGGCCGAATAAATGTTTAACTGTAGCCCCCTACGTCTTGCATGGATTCGATTTCTGGCTTTAATATTTTCCCAAATAATTTCTCGATAAACAGTTTTGAAGCTTGGTTGATTTTCAATATTCGAAAAACTGACTGCTGATTGAAATAACTATCATATTTTGCTATCAAAATTCTCCCAATTATAATTATTGAAGTTTGAGGATGCTGGAGAGCAAGTCATTCGTCAGGAAAACAAAGCAAGGCAAAGTAATTAAGATCCTCATCAAAACCCTAATCTTAATTTTTAATACCTTTGTTAGAATTCTATTGTTTGGTTTAGTATTTTGAAATATTAAGGTTTAGCTGATAATTGGATTGGCAGGTGGTGAGGGAACACTATCTGAGAGATGATATATGTTGTGGAGCTCCATTTTGCAATGTGTGCGATGTTTCAGCAGCGCGGTTGAGCTCCAATGCCTCATCTATTGTCATTGTCGACACTAATGTTGTCCTCCATCAAGTAAAGCCGTTGCCTATTAGAAAAAATTCAAGGTCTACTCGTGTAAGAAGCTTTTTACTTAGACGTAAGTTATTTTTGTTAGATTGATTTGTTGGAAAATCTAGCGATAGAGGACGTGGTGGTGCTATCGGTAGTGTTGGAGGAGTTCAAGAACAAGAATCTTGCTGTATATAATAGACTTCGAGCTCTTTGCAGCAATCCAAGGTTCATCGTGTTTTCCAACGAATACCACAAGTATGTTCCTTTCTTAATTTTGTTTGTGGACATCTGATGTGCATTTATGATGCTTGTGATTATTTGATTCTAAGCTTATGGGTTTTCTCAAAATTTCCTCTGTGTATTTGTAGTTCCATTCCTGAAGAGAACTTACTGTTCTAATTCATGTCATTGATAAACTTGAACAGGAGAGGAAATGTTTTCTTTAATTTTCTTTACCTTTTGTAGTTTGTTGATTTTAATTGAGAATTGTGGTGTTATTAGTTTGACGTCAAGCCTAGAAGATGAGAAAGACAAAAAATCTGTGACAGGTGATTACATAAAACAATCTTTTTGTGATTAGGGCATGAACTGCCCTTTGCCAGAGCCAACTGGAACAAGGATCTATTTTATGTGATGAGGCATATTTTAGTTGAGTCTGAAATTACTTTGATATCTTTTTGTACTCCATTAGTTATCATACATTACGTTGTATGAAGTGGAGTAATATGCTTGCTTACTTGAAAATGTTCCATATTTTAATTGGTGTCTTTACGTTCTTGCACTGATCTTCCTGCATTTGCAATAATAAGTTTAAATATGCATATCCTTGACTAACATCATTTTGGTCATGTTAAATATGATTAATTTTACAAAAAAAGAGGAGAATTTAATCTATCATTGATGTTGCATTTGATTTACTATTGCTTTTGTAGGGATACATTTGGAAGATTGAGACTGATGAAAGTCCAAATGATAGGAATGACAGAGGTCTGTCCTTTGCATTCTCATTAAAATGACAACTTTTATCTGTTTCTTGAGGCCTTTTCCACACTATGAGATTTTGAGCTGTGATTTTACTGATTATTGTATTTGGCAAAATTCAAAATTGCAATCAGAGAGACCTTAATTCAGAAATTTGAACTCATCAATTGATACTCTAAACCTCATTTTTTAATTGCTAAACATTATGATATTGAAATTGGCTATACATGGAACTTTGTAGTTGGTCCATTCGTTCTTGCATGCCATCCTGCCAACGGGTCATGCGTAAGTCCATTGCCTCAAGCCGCCTAAGTATATCTTATGTAGGGTCACCAGTCTGTAAAGGTGGAGAGTAGGTGCAGCTGGTTGCGATGGTTGAGATGAACTGGCCATGTGTCGATGCATCGCCAGCTTATCTCGGAGATCCTTGTGAGTGGTGGCTTAGGATGTAAGACTTCATCAAATTCCCGTGTGGCGACACCCGCTTGTACACATAGATCATGTATCAAAGATGGATGTCCCAAATTACCGGTGGCAGGCCCTGCTATAATGCGTAGGATGCTGTTTTGAATGACCATGCCAACATTAATAGAGTGTCCTATCTGGATGGCGTAATTCAATGTAGCCCGTTCTCTTGTTACCTCACTGATGTTACCACTGTGAATTAGTTTGGAAGATATAAAGTGATGCCAAACTTTACAATTGACTTGCAAACCGGTTGTGAGAAAGTTAGTCACGGCACTTGCATTACGTTTCCATTCAGTGTCTTCGCGAGCTAGTGTGTGAATCAAGCTATTGGGATCAACTCCCTCATCCCATAATCTGGAATAGTCATCATTGGGTATATTCTGCGTGTGGTAGAATCTGTTGATAGAGACACTGTCAAATTTAACCCAATGATCTCGCACAAAAACCTTGAAGTCTTCATGTTTTTTGGCATTTGCATAGAATTCCTTTATTAGAGGGATGGAGCAAGCCCCAGGTTGCAAAGCAAGCTTTTTCCATCCTAAATTTTGAATTTGTTGTGGTAATAGTTTCTCAAAACCTCTCTTCAGAATGCAATTCCGGTATACCACCGAATGCCGATATCTCTCTTCCGCCGCGGCGCTTACAAAACGCTTTCGATCATAAGTAGCAGTAGAAGAATATGATTTTGTGACCTTAGGCTTCTTTTTTGGCGGCATTGTGACTTAGCTCACTACGAGGTCACAAGTATAATAGAAGTACACCAAATTCAACCAACAATTCAAGCCTAAATATCAACCTCAAAATCACAATGACAAGATTCTTTCAATAATTTACTTAGGCAATTCCTCAAACACCTTGGATGCATTAACCTCAATCAAACTTTTAGCAAATATGTATATCCTCCCTACACACTTAGGCAATTCCTCACACACCTTGGATGCATTAACCTTAATCAAACCTTTAGCCGAATATTTAAAAAATATATATATTTTTTAGCCGTTCTTAGCAAAACTGTCGGCGCTGCGACGCCCATGTTGGGGGCTGCAGAGCGACGGATATCAAAAAAAAAACAACAAATTTTTTTTCAAAAAAATGCAGCTTTTCTCGCCTCCCTCCCCCTTAACCCTAGTAACCTCTCTTCCAATACAAATCTAGTCTCTCCCTCCACACTCTTCTACACCTTGATTATTCCATTATATCTCACCCTTTTGACTAGGCTAAATGAATGTGGAGATTCCTACAACACAAGGTAAGAGCTTTACTCATGGTTTGTACATCTCTTCCATAGAATTTCTTAACTTTTGGTAGAGATTTCTAGCTTGTTATTGGGATGGTGCTTGAATTGGAGAATTTTGAATGATTGGGTGTGTATGGAGTATATAAATATTTGCTAAAGGTTCGATTGTGGTTAATGCATCCAAGGTGTTTGAGGAATTGCCTAAGGGTTTTGATTGAGGTTAATGCATCCAAGGTGTTTGAGGAATTGCCTAAGTGAATTGTTGGAAGAATCTTGCCATTGTGTTTTGAGGTTGATATTTAGGCTTGACTTGTTGGTTGAATTTGGTGTACTTCTATTATACTTGTGACCTCGCAGTGAGTTAAGTCACCATGCTGCCAAAAAAGAAGTCTAAGGTCACAGAATCATCTTCTACTGCTACTTATGATCGAAGGCGTTTTGTAAGCGTCGCGGCGGAAGAGATATATCGGCATTCGATGGTATACCGAAATTGCATTCCAGAGAGAGGTTTTGAGAAACTATTACCGAAACAAATTCAAAATTTAGGATGGAAAAATTTTGCTTTGCAACCTGGGGCTTGCTCTATCCCTCTAGTAAAGGAATTATATGCTAATGCCAAAGAACACGAAGACTTCAAGGTTTTTGTGTGAGGTCATTGGGTTAAATTTGACAGTGTCTCTATCAACGGATTCTACCACACGCAGGATATACCCAATGATGACTATTACGGGATGAGGAAGTTGATCCAAATAGCTTGATTTACACACTAACTCGCAAAGGTACTGAATGGAAATGTAATGCAAGTGCTGTGACTAACTTTTCCGCAGCCGGTTTGCAAGTCAATTGTAAAGTTTGGCATCACTTTATATCTTCCAAACTAATTCCCAGTAGCAACATCAGTGAGGCAACAAGAGAACGTGCTACATTGAATTACGCCATCTAGATGGGACACTCTATTGATGTGGGTAAGGTCATTCAAAACAGCATCCTACGCATCATAGCAGGGCCTGCCTCCGGTAATTTGGGACATCCATCTCTGATATATGATCTATGTGTACAAGCGGGTGTTGCCGCGCGGGAATCTGATGAAGTCTTACACTCTAAGCCACCACTCATGGGGATCTCCGACATAAGCTGGCGATGCATCGACACATGGCTAATTCATCTCAACTAGCTGCACCTACTCTTCCACCTTTACTGACTGGTGACCGTATAGGGGATATACTTAGGCGACTGGAGGCAATGGACTTGCGCATGACCCGTTGGCAGGATGGCATACAAGAACGAATGGACCAACTACAAAGTTTCATGTATAGCCAATTTCAATATCAGAATGATTACATTGCAGTTATAGCCTCTGCACATCCCGAGCTTACATTCTCTTCACCATCGATGTTCCCATCTTGCTCCCACCCTCCAGCTCCATCGGACGACGATGAGGGCATCTACTGTCCTCATTGAGGTATTCTCCCCTCTTCTTTCATTTTCACATTGAGGACATTGAGTTATTAAAGTTTAGGGGGTATACTGCTTTTGTGTGCTGCGAAGTTGATTTTTTTATTGTTTCTTTTCTTTTTGTTTAATTCGTGTGTTTGTTAAAAAAAATAATTTATTTTCGCATGCTTGTGTGGGTTGGATAACATTGTTCGAAATGATAGATATATTTGGGAACATGAGTCGGTTGTGAATTATAAATAAGTTATGTGCTTGAGTTAAAGTCTTACTTATCCTTGCAAACAGTTGTAACATAAATGCATGTGAATTGAGTATAACGTTGGACAAGAATAGGTCGATTTATAAATGATATAAGTGAAATTAGTGACCTTAGAAGTTTGATCCAAACAACCTCTAAACAAAAAGATTTCGCATCCCATAACCAATTTTAGGATAGTTTGGATAATGGAACTGTTGTAGGAAAACGTGGATGTAGATGTGGATTCCGTGTGTGCTAAAATTTGTGTGAACTGTTGAGATCAAAATGATGAAAATTGGGTGAAAACCTTAAGTTAGGGGTCAAATTTTTGAGAATGAGTGTTTAATAAGGGGCATTGCACTATCATGTTTAAAAAAACAATTTGGACAACTATAAATTACTCATTGTGAAACATATATTTGTAGCCTTTATGACTCGAGTGAATAAGCCTGTAAGGGTTTAAAACCTGATGCCCTAAAGTCATTTGACTTGGGAGTCATCGGCCTAAAGCTCGCTAAAGGGATCATTTAGAAAGCTTAATGGATAGATGTCTGCACAAAAGGTGAATAAAAAATACTTATAGCTGAAAAAGTAGGCGCATAAAACAGCAGACGCACCATATACCTTGATTAGCCCCGAACACTCATTTTAGAGGATTATGCCTTTGACAAGAGGTTAGTAACTTGGTTGATTCTTGGAGGTTGAAGCAGTTGAAAATAGGAGAATTCTCATCTATTGATTTGTTGAATTGCAATTAGTGACAACTATCCGAACTAGAAAGAGTAACGAATGTTGTTAGCAACCCATAGATTATACCTCGAAAGAAAAGGGGAGTGAAGAGAAAATACGTTTGGGGGTGTGCGATTTCCACGAGCGGAGAAATGAGATAAGTGACTTTTAAGGTTGGGAATTGAATAAACTTATAAATGTACAACGTTGTATTTGGTTCCCCATACGCACATGTTTTGCATTGGAAAGGTAAAATTTAACTTTGGTACTATGACTTTGAAGTAGTTCATG